TCAAGTTGCTGCCCCTGTGCTGGAGCTCAGAGCCAGTGAGTCTGTCAGTAAGTCAGTCTGTGTGCAGGTCCTTTAAGAGGAACACCTGGGACTCCAGCAGCCCTCCCTCTTTCATTCAGCCAGGGTCTCTACTAGTCTTCACAGCCCGAAGGTGTGGGGACTTCTCTTCCTGGTACTGGAAACCTGGGATTGGGAGCCTGGTATGGGCTGGGATCCCTCACAATCAAAGCTGAGAATTCTCTCCTGATTTTTGATGGCCACACATGGGTGTGGGACCACCCTGTTCTGTGTCTGCCCCTCCTATCAGTGTCGACGTGTCTTCTTTCAATTCCACAGGACTTCGGTCCAGCTAGACTCCTGGTGATTCTCAATGATGATTGTTCTGTAGTTGTAATTTTGAAGTGGTCATGAGAAGAGGTGAGAACAGTGTTTACCCTATTCCACCATCTTGACTGGAACTCCCCAAAATGCTTTTTACTTATACTTGAAGAAATAAAGATAAATTTAGTGACATTTAAATTTAATTTTTCCTTATTAAATTATGTACAAATATGAAGCCATTCAGAAACTAGATATTATTTAAAAAAATGCAACTTGTCGATATGGTACAGAGAACCATTTTTTAAAGGAACTATGCTCCTTTTCTTATCTTTCAGCTATTTTTTAATCTTAATTCAGAGTGCATTGTTTCTTATAATATAGTAATTATATTATTTTAAACCTAAATTGTAGAATTAAGTGAATTATCTTCAAAACTAATTTTTCAAAATGCTAACTAATCAAATAAGATTAATGATAATGTGATACAGATATATATATGTAATTAAATGTCCCTGATTTTAAAGATAATTCTCCTTTTAAAAGTCCCTGTGAAAATGTGTCTCGATAATTTTAGAATAAACTATTCACCATTTTTACCATCTGGAAAAAAATAAAGCATTATGATTTAATATTTTAAAATAAGTGATATATCTGATGACAGTCTTAAAGAACTATACTTCTACTGTCTTCAGCTAACTACAGGACTATGAAAAAGGTGGGTGAGAATAAGTAAAAGAAAAAAAGACCAAAAGAATAAAATAGATCATTCGAAAATTTCCAAATTATCGTTCTTCAAAAAAAAAAAAGAAAAAGACAAGGTAACAAGGCATAACATGTTTTTAATACACTTCCGAGAAAAAAAAGACAATTCAATAGTATTTCTTTTAAAGATGATAAATGGTGGTCAAAAACACATCTGACCAAATTGTTTTGAAAGTAATAAACCTGACCATTTACTGGATCTAAATTATATAGTTTCTTCACTCTATCTATGCTAAGAGGAAAAAAATGAAAACGCTGGAATTAATGCTTTGTCATTCACAAAGTTCAGGTATGTATTGGACTACATTTATTTTATTTGAATTAAAAATTTTAAAATGATTCATGATCATTACTGCAACATTGCAGTAAATTAAATAAGGCTAAAATTATCTTACAAGTCTAAGAAAAATTTAAAAACCATATTTCAATTCAAAAATATGATCATTAATCTAAAAATGTCAAATACACTAATATTCTTTTACTTATTTATGAGACTAAAAATTAATGAGTAGAATTCCATCTAAAATTTAATAAGGAATGAAAAACTCATAATACCAACTACAATACAATACTACTATGACTATTATGAATTTTAATAACTTTAAAGATTCCTTAAACTACTATTTTTTAACTTTATTACAGAATAGATTTAAATAAATTTAAATGAAATGCAATGGAGATAAACTTTTGCTTCAAGAGAACTTTGAACAAATATGCCACATTTAATCAATTTATTATATGTGTAAAATTATGAATAATTATGTATCTGGTAAATCAAGCTATAAAATAGCACATTACTATAAAACAAACTCAAAAATTGCATATAAAATAAAGGAATAGAAAAATGAATTTAAAAAAATTATTATTTTCGTAGGCACATTACAGCCAATAAAAAGAAATTTAGTTCCAGGTAGAAAATAGTCATGTAACACAATTCATTACCAATTTTATTTACATTTTCATAAAAGTACGTACAGCGTATGCATGTGTGCACACATATATTATTAAACATCTTCAGGTAATTCTGTTCAAATAAACCAATGTGTTAAATTAACAAGTAGCTTTCTCTAAATATCAAAGACAATATTAAAAAGTAAAAGCTGTTTCCTAGTTCATCTTAAAGCTAGGATGTAACAATATTGCCATCTAGTGTTCCTATCAAATAAAAACTTACAAGTGTTATACTTTTGTTTTTCACTTAAAAAAATTAAGTGTGCATAAGTTAAATAAAAATTTCCATTCCTATGGGCAAGAATATAGTTTTGACAGTTGAGTAAAAGGAGAAAAACAGAAAAGGTCACTGGGAGTCAATGAAAGAAAAAGAAAATAAGGCAGTGGAAGAAATACTCTTCTTTTGGATGTGATTTCTGACAAACTTTTTCTTAAACACAGTATATATGTTACCTGATTGTCCTGGATGTTTAATTGACTAAACGAAAGTACAGGTCAACTCCTTAGGGTTAGTTGCATCATCCCTTTGTAGCTCCCCATCCTTTGTTTCCCAAATAGAAATCAACTGAGATCAAGTCTTAAGTGATTTGTCATCAAATGAACATAAACAAATTCAGAACAGCCATGTTTTAAATACATAAAATTTATCATTTTGATTACTGCTAATGAGGAGATAAAGAATAAAAAATTGTTTTAGGTTAAGGTTGAAAAGAATTTCACAACTGTTAAGGCTGAAGAGAATTTAACTTTGTTAAAAAATACATACATTTTAGGCCAAACTGTTACTTAATGACATTACAAGCATTGCTGAAAACAAAGATGGGTGCCACTGGTCATCTATAATCAAGACCTGCTGCTGGGAAAGTCTTCTTCAAGTCTAGAGGCTACCAGTGATTTGCTATGTGGCGCTGGGCAGATCTCTTAGGCATTCAGAGCTTCAGTTCTTCCTCTTTAAAGATTAACTTAGTATGTGACAAGACTTTATAAAATGCAAAATGCTCTACTAATGTAAGGTAAAACAGGTAAGTTACCCACCAAGATGTGATGGGTGGTGGTGGCAGTCTTACTACTACTAGATCTTAACTACAATGACAGCTACCACTACCATAATATAATCCCGTCTACTTTCACAAGTGTGTCTTGTTTCTTCCTAGTCCTACCCCTTTGGTCACATTATCTTCCCTTCATAAATCTCTAGTCTAAATAAACTCTATTCACTGGAAATAAGATGTCAGCTAATATTATCTATTATGCTTCCCTTTTATTTACCCATTTCCTCATTTCTGTATAATAAAAATGGATCACTTATCTAAATTAGAAGTATTTGAAGAAAAAAATTCCTATTCATTCTCCACAGCCCAGCTCCATTTTTCACCTTCTCTGTGAAGTCATCTTTCTTGTATCCTGCCCAATCCAGAAGTGATCTCTCTCTGCTCTAAACTTCTCAGCAGCACTAATTAGTATTCATTTACAGCCTTACATTATTTTTATGTACATGTTTTATCCCCTCAGAATAAGTTATAAGATCTCTGAAAAGAAAAAACCTTTATTATCCTTCTTTATGTCCCCTAGAAAGGTAACTTTTGGGCACCTGAGAATTACAACCACATGTTGACACAAACACCTTCTTGCCCTGTTCAGAAGCATCTCGCTTCCCCAGGCTTCGGCTCTCAAAGATTTACATGTGTCATACGAGCAACATTATTTAACCTCTCTGAGGCTCAATCCCTGACAGGAAAGATCACAATGCCTATTTCATGGTTACGGCAACAACAAACACCAAATAAAAAACTCATATATTGGATGCAAAAAGGTATTAATAAAATGTAAAGTCTGATTAAAAATTACCTTAATTTCAAAGCATTTAAATATATATATACATTATATATATATCCATCCCTGTAATACAGATTAATACTGAATTAGGTTTTTTAAGTTATTGGCATTAAGGCCAGTCTACTTATCTATTTTAGCTAGTTATATGCACAGCTTAATAACTGACTAGATTATCTTTCCTCAAGAACACAGAAAAGGTAGATAAAATTTTCTATAAGTGCTGACACAAAAATGATCTACCTTCAATGTTGAGTCAAACAAAGAACATATATTTTTGGTTCTCAAAGACTTCTTCAAATGAAGAATTAAAAGTTACCACCACACATTAGATTACAAAATCTAACATCCATTCAAGGCCCAAATTTATTTGCAGTGAATTAAAATGTAAATGCTGCTATTTTCATATTTCTCAACCTAAAAACATACATAAAACAAAATCCTCATTGCAACATTCCTTTTCAATAGTCACATCATTTGCTTTTTCTTCTATTCATTCATACCATGTGCTAAATATTGTTTTTCTGCACCATTTAAGAAAACTACTATGACTATGTTTTTAATAAATAGGTTTTTCTTAAAATGGCAACTGAAAAAAAAATCCTTAACGTTTAGTAATTTAATAATTGTCAGTTTCTATTTTATGCTACTGCTGCCATCTAGTGAAAATTTTGAGAACTTAAATCATTCTGGAAAATAGATAATTTTTTAATGCATACTATCAACCTGCAAGGTGTGTGTGTATAGAGAGAGAGATATATGAGGAATAAGGATAATAAGATTACTTCCTGGCAAATCATTTTTTAAATTTTGTTTTCATTAAATTTTATTTCTATATTATAATTAATTTAATCATAAAGCTACTCGTTTATTTAATCAGCAATTATAATCATTTAATTTAAAAATTCCTTTATTTAAAAAATCAAGCTGTTTTTAATTTATCAAGTTATACCAATAAATATATGCAAATTCAGAAATACTCTCAAAGATTCTATATTTGGAATTTTCAATTACTAAAAACACTGTTCATTATATAGTTTAAAACAGTAAATATGCTGACCAAAACTCTATATGCCTGGAACTCTACCTATTTACCTGAAAAATTCCATAAAGATAAATTTCATTAAGCTTACCTGGGAAAAGATATTCGCTGTTGGAGCAACTCTGCTGTCCACGATACTATATAATATTGCTAATAATCTATCTAGTGGAAAAAGTTTTGGTCCAAGGAGATGATTGCTTGTCTACAAGGAAAAAGAACATGGGTTTTCTTCTTATAGTAGAGAACTCATTTTCTGCACAATGAATTCCCAGTAACAACATATTTATATTCTATTGTTCCCCAAAGACGCTAACAAGCCAACTTTCAGTCTCTATGTTAAAACTTTATCTGATGTAACCATAATTCAACCCTTAACATTTTCTTCAAGATTTTCTGACTTAGCATCAACAAATATTAAAGAATTCACAAGTTATTCAGCCCTATTTTGCTGATGGAACCAGATGCTAAGTGACTTAGCCAAGTCATTAGTCAAGATAGCACATAACCAAAATCAGGGTCTAGGTCCTGACTCCTAGTCTAGAACTTACTACCTCTCACCATTCCTCTTCGTGCCACAGACTAGAAATTTATTTGTTCATCATTAATAGTTTTAAAAAGATCAGTTATAGTAAATACTAGCTTAGAAAACTTTTATAATCTGTGAATAATCTGTTGGCCCAAAACAATGTAAAATTCATAAAAAGTTTAAAGACTATAAAATGTTCATACTAGTGTACAAAGTCATATGGTACACTAACTTATCATTAGAAAACTGCAGTGCTCAAGGTCCACTCCATCAGATAATTTTAGTTGCAATGTAAGATTTTAAGTACTCTATATTAGCAATGGCAAATAAAATGGGAATTTATATGCATGGGAATAACTACTTCTTTAAAGAACGACTGCAAAAAAAATACCTACTCAGAATTATAAAATGAAATATTTACTTCAGCTATTTATATCTAAAAGATAGTTTAGAAACCATTTTTCAAGTCTTAAATTTTATATGCTTTTCTCATTAAATACTTCAAACATTCAGAAAAATAAAGAAGTTAATATAACAAATACCAATGTACCCACCATTAAATTTTATCAAACCCTAACATTATACAATATATACTAAGAAATAAAACAATAAATCATATTACAAATAAGTTGAAGCTCTCTTGCACTCTTGTCATATTCCACTCTTCCTTTCCCTAAGAAAGCACTATCCAGAATTTGGTGTTTTTATCACTTTCATGATAGTTTTTATACTATATATATATATATCCATAAAAAACATACAGCACTGTTTGCTTGATCTAAAGTTTTATATAAATAATATCATTTTGGACATAGCACTCTAAAATTGCTTCTTTGATATTATGTTTTTCAAGTTTAGCCATATTGACGCATATAGCTCTAGTCCATTTTTAAACTACCCTACAGAAGTCCATTTTATGGTAAATCACTACCTACTTTAAAAAACTCAACACTCTCACAAATAATACCGTCATGGACAACCCTGTTACATTTCTCCTTGTATACTTGTGTCAGTTTCTCAAAGTGAGGTTGTTAATTAAAGTACAGGGCAGAGACAATGCTATGTGTTCACCAATGCTGTTTCTTCTTGGGCAATAGGAAGACTACATTTCTCAGCCTTTCCTGCAGTTAAATGAAGGCCATACGATTAAGTCCTGGCCAACAGAATATGGGTGAAAGTGATGTAAACTCCCAACCCCGGCCTTTCCAACCACTGGCTCCTTTAGTCTTCTTTCTCTTTGGTGGCAACTCTGGAGGCCCCCATGTTATACTTGACATAAGATGAAAGAATGCCACCCAACTCATACTCAATTGTGTCATGAGCAATATATAAATCTTTGTTAAGCCACTGAGGGTTGGAGGGGGGGGGTTGTTGTTGTTTTGTACTACAGCATGGCTCAGCCTACTGTGACCAATACAGAGTACATTTACATATTAACTTTATTAGGTATCACCAACCTGCAGGCTCTTAATCTTCCACATTATCACCAACACTTGGAATCACCAGACTTATTTTTCAGTTTTGCAAGTCTGAGAGTATGAAATAATATCTTACGGTTGTTTAAAGTTGCATTTCTCTCATTAGTGACTGAGGCTCTCAGGTTTGTTAGACGTTCAAGTTCCTTTTTGTATCACCTATCCATTTACCAACTGGATTTTTGCCTTTTTCTCATTGGTTTGTATGAGTCTTTAAAACCTGTAGCTACTAATCAGTTGCCAGTTATATGAATTCAAGAATAGTGGTTAACATCATGGTTTTGTAGTCAAACAGTCCTGGAATTGGATGCTAGATCCACCACATAAACTATGTAATCTTGGGCAAGTTATAAAATTTCTCTTTAATACTCAAGTTTCCTCATCTAGAAATGAGGATAATAATAGTAACCACATTCGTTAGGTCATTGTGAGAATTAAATGAGATCACACGGAGAGCTTAACAGTGTTTGGCTTATAAGTGCTTGACAGCTTTTACTTTTGCCATCAAGATACACTTGTTTATATGTGTTTTTTTCTTTTCTAGACAAATGTCTTAAAAACAAAATTTTATTCATCTTTTTATCCTTAGCACTTGAGGCTGTTAGTTAAATAAATGAATAGATAAATGGATAATGAATGAATAAATGAAATGGTATTAGAGAAAAGAAAGAAAAAATAAAAGTAAATGTTGAGAATTTTAAGTGAAATTGGTGTCCCTGTCCTCATTAACACTTAGAAGTAACTTGAGATTAGTAAAAATCAGCTAAATTTCTGAAGTGTTGGGAATAATGTGGGAGGCAATTCAGGCTGAGAATCACATTGTCAAAGCTGCTATTTTTCTGATTTTCACTTTTCTTTTTATTCTGCGATTAGAAAACACATTTTCAATTTAAAATCAAAGTGTTCTAGTGGCATGTAGAGCATATGATATTTATTTTCTTCACTGAACTTATTCTGTCTGCTATAAATGCAAGCTGGCTTCTCACTTAGAAAGGAAGGCAAAGTCTAAGAAATATCTCACTAGATAGGTCATTAGAGAGGATAAAGGCCTGTAAGAATGAAAGAGAATTGAAAACAGAAATTAAATAAAATAATTATTGAGGAGGTAGAATTAAATCAAAATTGGTGTCAAGAAAATTAGAGACAGGAACATAAACTGTGAGTTATAAATATTTATGCCAGAAAAACAAAAAGCTAGAAACAGTTCAAAGAAGTTGCCTGCAGGGAATTGGACTAAGGGTAAGGAAAGGAAAAAGATTTGCTTTTCCACATAAACTAACTGACAAGTAATCTGGTACCATACACATGCATTAACTAAATTAAAAAGTAAAATCTTAAAAAAATCAATTTCTACTGAAGATACACAGAGAAAAGGAATTCTACAACTGAAGATGTGTAAAGATTTAAAACAACTGTTAGGATAATTATTTGTGGTTTGCTTTTAAATATATTATGCCTGATTAAATGGAGAGCTATATGAGGGCAGACACAAGGACTATTTTGTTCTCTACTATATTTGCAGCATCTAGCAGAATGCTTAGCATAAAGTAAGCATTCAATCAAGATTTCAGGAAGAGGGAAAAAAATATAAAGAAACTAGTAAGTATACATAGGGAGCTTTCAGTTAAGTTCAAGTTTTAAAGCAACATGAACTAAAGACAAAAGAGGCTACTGTAAGAATCAAATCTACAAGAACAGAAGAACTAGAGTTCATCTAGAAGTAGAGACATCTTCATGATATCTTTGCTCAGAGAGTTCATTCTGTCAACACTGTCCTTTTCCTAGATTCATACAAATCCACTCATTTCACAAGGATGGTCTGAAGTGCCAGCTCTTTCAGTAGTCACTCATCATCATCACTCGTATATCTCTCCTTTCTTGAATTTCTTAAATAATTTTCTCTCTAAACAATAAAATTCTTAGTTTTATGTTCGTTCTTTAATTTTCTTCACTCATTCATTCCATTTATTCATTTGTTCAATAAACACCCCTCAAATATAACCAAGTGCTAAGATACGGAGGTGAATAGACAGGCTTCCTTCCCTTAAGGAACTGGTGAGTAAGGCTATTCCTCCACAATTCAACTTCAGTTGTCTTTTTTCTGAAACTTGCCACACACTCCAGCCAATTTTATTTTATTTCTTTTATATACCCTACACTTTCTCACATATGCTTCTTGACTTAAATCTTTCCTCAACTAGAATGTCTTCCTCTACCAATTCTACATATCCATTCCTCACCATTCTTGAGAGCCTACTCAAATGCAAGCCCTACCACAAATCCTTCCTTTACCAATCTAGCTAGAAATACTCTCTCCTACAAATCCTTTATGACCCAAAGCAGCCACACATGTAAGAAAGAGGTTACAAAATCAACAATCTGCCTATTGTGGAAAGCCTAACCAGAGATATCTCAGTGAAAGGGCATACTAGAAAAATCTTTCCATTATAAGAAAATATATTTTTAAGGAAATTTCCCTTCCAAACACTGGCATTGTGTGAAGAGAGGAAAAAAGTCTTCCCTGGGGATTTTAACTAGAATCTAGGGCTAACGATGATTTGAATGCAGAATTCACAATCTTTGTGGTCTGAAAATCCCCAGGCTGAGAAGTGAATTTCAAATGATCCTAGGTTACTAGTATTCCTAAGTATCTGTACAGAAGTAAATGCAAAACCTTTCTAAAGGAACACACCACAGGTCTCAAAAATTCCAAAGATTAAATAATAAAATGTTCAAGAAACAAGGCATATGTGCATGAGTCAGCAAAAATAGAAACTGTAGAATTAGACGAATGGAGTTTAAATACTGAAAGACGATAAAAAATATAAAATAGGTTATTTTTATGTTAAAGAAAAATATGACTAGAAAAAGTATAAAAGTGACCAAGCTTGAAGTGAACCAATAAACCTTCTAAAATTTACAAATAAGATTACTGAAATTACAAAGTTAATATAAATAAAAGACAAAACGAAAGAAAAAATCTAAACATAGAACTGAAGAAATTACCCAGAAAACAGCACACAGAGATCTAAGGGAATGAAGAATGAGAACAACTTAAGAGACAGAGAGTAGAGTAAGGTGTATCCTATGTCTAATTACTATCTCAGAAAGACATATTAATATGAGAATGGAGGAGTGGCAATATTTGAAAAGTTAATGACTGAGAATTTATCAGAACTGAATAAAGGCATCATTATTCAAATTCAAGAGGCAAAACTGATCCCAAGTAAAAAGAAATTCAATCTCAGAAATACCACAGTGAAGCTGAAAACACTAAAGGAAAAGAACTTAAAAGCAGCTATGAGAAAATAGATAAATTTTTTAAAAGATTTTTTTAGCAGAAACAATAAAACCAGAAGACAGTAAAACAATGTCTTCAAAGTACTAAAAAAAAAACATTATCAATTTAGAAGTGTACACTTAGCAAAACTACTCTGAAGACTGAAAGTGAGAAATAAAAGTCACAGGTTCTCGTGTCTGGTCAAGATGGCGGAGTAGGTAAAGACTGTGCTTGCCTCCTCACACAACCACATTAAAATGACAACTGAACTACAGGAAGCCATCATTGGGAGTCACCTGAAGTTTAGCTGAATAGAAGTCCTACAACTGGGGATATATACAGAAGAGGCCACCTCAAGACTGGTAGGAGGGATGGAGTTAAATAAGGAATGGGTTGGTCCCATACCCTTCTGTGGAGGTTGAGAATCACGAAGGATACCTCAGTTATGGAGGTCCCCCCAGAGGAGTGAGGGGTTCCAGCCACACACCGGGCTCCCCAAACCAGGTTTCCAGTGCTGGGAAGAGAAGTGCCCACAACGTCTGGCTGTGAAAACCGTTGAAGATTATGGCTGAATGAGAGGAAGAGTGGCTAGAGTCACAGACATTCCTCTTAAAGGACCCACACTTGGACTTATTCACTGACAGACTCAGTGGCTCGGAGATCCAACTCTGGTGCAACAGCTTGAAAGGCACCAGGGACATATAAGGAGGAACTGAATTGTCTGGCTGCAGGAAGAGGGCTGGAAGGTCAGCTTTCAGCCAGACAGAAGTGCTGGCAGAAGTTACTGTTACTTTGTTGAGCCCTCACCGCTCTTGGCATGCAGACAGCAGACTGCAGCCATATCTGAGTCTCCATCAACCTGGCTAACACAGTTTGCCCTGCCCTGGCGATTTCCTGAGACCCTGCCCACACAACTTATGGGCCCACCCAAGCTTCCTCCGTGGCTTTTCCATACAAACGGCCTGTCTTTGCTCATGATGCACACGTTCCTAAAATCTCTCAAAGGTTCACTAACCCCAAATAAGCATCATCTGGCCTCGGCATGCTCTGTTTCTCTTGCTGAACAACCCCAAGCCCAGCACTGGTGGCAGCCAGCCTCAGTTCCTGGCTTGGCCTCTTGAGACACCTCCAAACCCATCATGGGTGGCAGCCATCGGTGGATTACTTGGTGACTCTTGCTAGGTGGCCTCAGATAGGGCATAGGCTACAGCTGAACTTGGCCTGTGACAAAGCCCCTCCCAGGAGGCCCTAGGGACAGACGCCTGCTGGCCAGCTTCGGATCGAGATGGAGTACCACCTGAGGCTTCATCTGAGAACAACACACTCAAGGGCAGACTGAGCATGCACGAGAGTCCTCACAACCAATCAGCCCGAGGGTCAATCCCGACCACTGACGTGCAAACATCAACCAAGGCTCAACTAAAACTGGAGAGCACAAACCACCCATACAAGGAACACACCTAGACAACTCAGTTCAGGTGACAAGGGAAGACTGAGCCACTGGGCCCCAGAGGAAACCTACTACATAAGGCTACTCTACCAAGATCAGGACACACAAAAGCCCTACCTAATACATAGAGACAAACACAGGGAGGCAGCCAAAATGGGGAGACAAAGAAACATGTCCCAGACGAAAGAACAGAACAAAGTTCCAGAAAAGGAACTAAAGAAAATGTAGACAAGCAATCTACCAGATGTAAAGTTCAAAACACTGGTTATAAGGATGTTCAATGAACTTAGAAGAGTGGATGAACTGAGAAGGAACTTTAACAAAGAGATAGAAAACAAAAATAGAGATAGAAAACATAAAAAAGAACCAGTCAGAAATGAAGAATACATTACAGGGAATCACCAGATTACATAAAGCAGAGGATCAAATCAGCAACTTAGGAGATAAGGTGGCAGAAAACACCCAATCAGAACAGCAACAAGAAAAAAAAGTCCAAAAGAAATGAGGATAGTTTAAGGGACCCCTGGGACAACATCAAGTGTACTGACATTCACATCATAGAGGTACCAGAAGAAGAGAAAGAGCAATGAATTGAAAACCTATTTGAATAAATAATGACGAAAAACTTCCCTAACCTGGCAAAGGAAACAGACATATAAGTCCAGGAAGCGCAGAGAGTCTCAAACAAGATGAACCCCATGAAGTCCACATCAAGACACAATTAAAATGGCACAGGTTAAAGACAAAGAATCTTAAAAGCAGCAAAAGAAAAGTTACCTAAAAGAGAGCACATCTCCACAGGACTCGTCAATTTTTCAACAGAAACTTGGCAGGCCAGAAGAGATTGGTACAAAATATGCGAAGTGATGAAAAGACCTACAACCAAGATTACTCATTCTACCCAGCAAAGCTATCATTTAGAATTGAAGGACAAGATAAAAAGCTTCCCAGACAAGAAAAAGTTAAAGGAGTTCATTGCTACCAAACCAGTATTACAAGAAATGTTAAAGGAATTTCTTGGAAAAATAGAAGGTCTAAAATATGAATAATAGATAGCAATAATTACATACCTATCAACAATTACTTTCATATTAATGGATTAAATCCTCCAATCAAAAGATAAGGTGGCTGAATGAATAAGAAAACAAGACCCTTACATATGCTGCCTACAACAGACTCATTTCAGATCAAAAGACATACACAGACTGAAAGTAAAGGAATGGAAAGAGGTATTCTATGAACATGGAAACAAACAAAAAGCTAGGGTAGCAATACTTATACCAGACAAAATAGACTTTAAAACAAAGGCTTTTCAAGAGACAAAGAAGGACCCAGTAATCTCACCTCTGGGTATTTATCCAAACAAACCCAAAATACTACTTCAAAGGGACACATGAATCCACATGCCCACTGCATTTTTTATAACAGCCAAGATATCAAGGTAATCTGAGTGTCCATCGATAGATGAATGGATAAAGAAGAGGTGGTACATACATATAATGAAATATTTCTCAGCCCTAAGAAAAGAATGAAATCTTGCTATCTGCCACAATATGGATGGACCTAGAGGGTATTGTGCTGAGTGGAGTAAGTCAGACAGAGACAGACAAATGCCATATGATTTCACTTATATATGGAATCTAAAGAACAAAATAAACGAAACAGAAACAAATTTATAGATACAGAGAATATTTTGATGGTTGCCAGATGGGAAGGGGTTGGGAGGTGGGTAAAAGAAAAAAAGGGATTAAGAAGTAGAAACTAGTAGTTACAAAATAGTCATAGGGATATAAAGTATAGCATAAGGAATATACTCAATAATATTGTAATAACTATGTATGGTGTCAGATGGGTACTAGATTCATTGCAGTGATCAATTCATAAGATATATAAATGTCTAATCATTGTGTTATATACCTGAAATACTATAATACAGTATGCCAACTATAATTGAAAAATAAAAAAATTATTCAGAAGAAAATAAACACACCTAGGTTTTAGCCACTAAAAACAAAACTCGCAGCTTCTACACTGTGAAGTTTATAGCTCAAATTTCTCCATCTTCCACTAAGAAAAGTAGCAGTGGTTTAGATGTACGAAGTGGAACTAATTCTTTCAATTTCTTCTTGCCCCACAACCCATCTGCAAATGTGCAGATGCTTCTAATTCCCAAGTTTTTCCAGATTCCTCAGGTCACAACAGTTTGCACTGGGGGTTAGATTTCAGCCTCTCTTGCTGGTTAGTCACCTGCATATCTATCTACTATGCAATTCTAAATTTTATGGGTCTTTCATCTGCTTCATCCTCACAAGTTTACCTTTTTTTTCAATGCCATTTTTGTGGGTGCTTCAAAGGAGAACAAGGGAAAATCAGCTGTGTTTAATTAAAAATTCCCCAGTGATCTTTTTCATCTACTAATTCACTAAAATTTGTCAACTTTCATCTCTAGGACCAGCTTCCTTGAATGTGCCTTCAAACAATGTAACAAACAAAATACTAGTATATTATACATAACAAAATACTAGTATATTATAATGGTATCATAGCAACACAAATAACTCTTATCTAAATAACTAATAAAAGCATGCATTTATCCACTTCCTATAGTATCCTAAATTCATGAGTTTTTCTCATTAGAGAAATTAAAATGTAAATACCTTTTCATGTTTCTTTAGAAAGTTAGTTTTCTTGATTTTCCCATGATGCTGCAAATAAAGAAAATAATTTTTAAGATGAACAAAAGATAGTATTCCACAAAAACAGAAAACATAATTTGTTTAAAACATAGCACAGGTAATACTAATTCATATGTCTTAGGCCTTTTTATTTTATTCTATTTATTACCTAAAATATCAACATATGGTAAGCTGATTTGACTTAGATCTCTATTGTATATAGATTATTTTTTAATTTAAAAAAATATTTTAAAATAAAATAGTGATACTTCCTAAAAGAACTTATTATATTGATTTATTAAAGCATGTTTGTTTCTATAAAAACAAAAGTTCTAAAAATAAATGGATTTTTAGTCATCCCTTAAGGCAAGCTGTCAATTTACATAAAAACACTGAGAACATTCGATAATGGGAAAAAAAATGGATGTAGTCCCTGATCTCATGAAACTAATAAAGACTAGTGAGAGAGATATGCAAAAATAATAAATAAAAGTTTATTACAAATACATTTAATAATAAATAAAATTGTATATTGTTTTCTCAAAAAGAAAATAATTCTAAAATGGGATTTCTTCTGCTAATGTATACACAGGAGAGGCTCTTGAATGTTCCAGATAATGTTTAGAGTGGATGACACTACAGCAGGAGCTTTAGAACAATAAAGGAGTTACCACCCTTAAAACTATTCTCCTCTCATATTTTAAACAGAACCTTGTTTATGTATTTTTAAAATCTAAAATGATTACTTAAGGTATACCTGAACTCTTTTGTATAACTATTTTTCCCATTCAGGTTGTGATCTTAATTTAAAACCTTTAGGGAATGAGTTCTAAATACATAATTAGCAATCTCTTATTCTAATCTCTGTCTGCTCCTTAGAAATTTATGGATGTTGAGATATTTTAAAATATGCCTGGGATCTTCAAAAGTAAAGTGAAAAGAAGTAATAATTACCTTAAGGAAGAACCTCTTGTCAGTTCTTGCTGGATTATATGAAGCGAGGTATGCAGCAATTAGAATAAACTTAGAGTAATATGGAAGTTCCACATGAGTATATGCCGAGAGACCTATACGACAAAAACCTTCATTTAATAGGCTACCATTAGATTTTAAGTATCTTATATTCTTTCACTTATCTTTTGACTTCCATACAGTATTCTCTAGTCAAAATGACAAACTCAAAAAAAAAAAAAAAAAGACAAATTCCTTGAACTTAATTAAAGTGCCATGATAATGATGGTGGTGGCAGTAAACGCCATTACTGATATGCTTTCCTTATTCTATTAGTTTTGTTTGGCTCCTATTCTGAAGTCTAAATCCTACCTATCCTGCCCTTCGAAGCCACAGTTTCCATTAAACCTCCCCTAATGCTTCTCTACCACACCAAAATAGAAAAATCTGTTTCTACTATGAATTCCTACTTTGTGTATTTCATTTATGGCCCACATAACTTTATATTAACAGTTAATTATACTGAAATTATATTTCTTACCAGCTATACTGTTCACTGAAGGAGCTTCTTTTTTTTTTTTTTTTTAATCCCTACAGTGCTTTTTGCAAAGGAAATAATTGAATGAATGGGTAAATAAAACGATTGGGTCAAACAGCATTGATTTTTACAAGGGAAGAAGGAATCTGGTTATTTACTGAAAATATAGTATGTGTCAGACATTGTGCTAGATGCTTTACTTAAGCATCTCTGAATCCTTGCAGTCACTTAAGCTAGATATTCTTCTCATTTTAGATTAACTGAGTTGGGCTCATAGGGTGTAGGACAGACTAATTACTGAAGATTTTCTAACTCCTGCATCTATTTCTTTCCATTAAAATACACAACTGAAATCACGTGTACAGCATCTTAACCACTGAGAAACCAAAATAGACAAAATAGAATCTCAATACCACTTCATTTCATACCACATTCCCCCAACCACTAGCCACTGATCTATTTTTTAAATAAGAATATTTTAAATACTCGCTTATTATTTTAAAAAGTAAAAGTTGTTCTATTGGTTTAAATCCAAAGTAATACCTTCTTTAAAGAAAACAAACGCACAAAGCTTTTAAAACATAACTAATTGAAACGCATCTCTTAAACTAGGTTAACATAAAATTGGATTACATATAAATCATGAAATATATATATTGAGATAAAATTGTGTCATATAATTCTTTTAACAAAAGCATTTAATGAAATATAAACTGCTTGATTTCCACCTGACATAATCCAACAATTAGAAAACAAAACTGGTATTTGAACTTCACTTTCTCCCATTTAATTGGAGCTTCACTTACAAGAAAATCATTAATTAAAATATCATTATAGCTTATTATCTGCTTTTATAACATGAATAACTGAAGTGACCTATAATATTAACTTTAGTATCTTGATTATTATTAATCAAATAAAGAGGTGTCTCAAGTAATTGTCTCAATACTTTCTTTGATACCTTTCAGTTGTCCAAGATCTGTGTCATCTTTTTGTAGCTTTTCCCACTGTGAACTGAAAAAAAATAGAAAATAATGGATTGAAAATATGCTAAGTCAATATGTTGTACTTAAAACAGGGTCCTAGAAAAATTAAAAATTAGTTATTTACAAAGACTCAATTTCCCTATAAACAAGACAATACATACATGCAATATACATGTTTGTACCTCTATGCAATCATTTTGTGTGTATTAGAACAATTTATATATAAATAGTCAGATGTTAATTTTTTAAAAAATCTCTTTTCCTCCAATCACAATTGTAAAGCTATCAAAAAGTATCAATAAATAAATAATATCACCTATCATTCAGTAAAACTCCTAATGTTCCAGTTACCATATTAGATAGAAACTGTCATACACTATTTCTAAACTCAGTAACAATCTCTTAAAATAAGCTATAATATTACATCAAAAAATAGAGGCCCACAGGGTTAAGTTGCCCAAGGACACCCGGCCACTCAGTAGTGGAGCTAAAAATTGAATCCTAATAGAAAGCTTGCAGAGTTCATGCTATTTCCACTGCCTCACTCTGATCTTACTTGCAATTTAAACTGCTAAAAAGCCCCAAATATTATTAAGACTATGAAGTGATTATCATATAAGCAATCAAAGTCATAAAGAAACATACCGTAGTGAAAAGACTGCCTTGGGAGACAGAAGCTTTAGCTGTATGACCTTGAATAAATCAATATGTCATCAAAAAGTAAGGCACTTAGATGCAATGATCTATAAAGACCCCTTCCAACTCTAAAACTCTCTTAAAATGCTAATTTAAAAGTAAATGTCAGATCAGAATAATTAAGTACCCTAAATCAAACTATACGTATTTTTTCAAATCTGCAAGCACAGTTGAAAATTCTAGGAATATAGCAAATGGGAATGTTTGATAGGTTACTAATAACCAATGTGGAAAGCAAACAAGCTAACCCACAAAATAGATCATTTTCTCCATCCTACAGATGAATAGTGCTTCACAACTTAGAAGGCATTTTCACATTCATTACTTAAGTGCAAATAAAAATAAATTTTTATCAGTTACAATGTTATAAATTAGACATCCGAGAGTTTAAAATGATAAGATTTTCTTATATAGCAAATACTCGTTTAATGTTATTAAATCTCGAAGGACAATCAGGGAAAAACTGACCATCTTTAATGGAAAGGAAGGAAGCTATAAGATCTACTAAATGTTTATTATAAACCCAGTTCTTAACACATTCCATTTAATTCTCATAAATTTAAGAGATAGACTATCATTTCTTTTCTTTATTTACAAATGACAAAAATGAGTCACAGAGGTTAAATAATTTGACTAAGGTTCCAAAGCTTCTAAGTGGTGGAACTGGCATTTCAACTGAGATCTGACTAAAAAGTCCATCCATGTTCTAAATAAATATATATGAACTATCAATTTCCAGAGGTGCTTCAAAGTCACAGTAATTATATTAATTAAAATTATAATAATTAATTTTAAGATGAACAAGGGAATCAGGTTGAAGTCTTTTTTCATAATTTGTCCTCGCTGCTTATAAAAGCTATATAAAACCAACATACATTCCAACTAACAGTTTGTTGAGTTAGGATATAGCCTTCTATGACTTTATTCTCCTTTTTCTTTATTTTGCTTATCCCAATTATTTAATCTCAATTAGAAAATGTGAAATATGTGATTATTGTTATTTTTTAACTCAGTAAAATTTAATTTTACATGGGCAAAAAGGGTAAGGGGTATTAGGAAAAGAATGGACGAACTTGAAGAAATATGAACACTTTCAAATGGACCAGCAGATATCAGTCGACTTAGAATGCCATTTTGCTACTATACTATTGTGAAGTTTCACTGGTCCTTTGTGACACATTGTGAGTAAAAAGAAGTCTAAGGCCATTATATATAATATGATTATAAAGTTAACCAATTGGAATAAAAATGCAAACTGTCCTATCAAAAATTTTTTTCAAAAAGACAAATAACCACATAGAGAAATTCAGGAAAGTAACATGCATGACCAAGTTAAAAAAACAACAACACACACATATATACTTCATATCAATAAATACAAATGGGTATAATTCATCCATTAAAGAAAAGGTTCTCAGAATGCCTCAGTGAGACAGTAGGTCAGATTAGCAATGCTTATTTCTGTGCTCTATACCTTTTTTGTGAAAGAAACATATTACAGATTATATATAAATTGCAAAGGGAAGAAGATGCCTTTGCATGTATAAAGATACACATGTATGTATTTGCATATTTTTTAAAAAGACAGAAAACAGACCAGAAATTCTATATGCGATAAGGTAAAGAGTGAAAGGGATAAGGATGAATGTGAGACTTGAATATACTTTTTTAAAATACAGTTTTAACTTCTGAATTATTATTTGATACCCATCTCTTATCTTTACAACAAGTTTTTTCTACTTTGCCCTTTCTCTCCTCCTTTTCTTTGCATTTTTTAACATTGTAACTATTATTCTTACCCTGTCAGAACACGTAATGATTGACTGATTGACTGACAGATAGATAGATAGATAGATAGATAGATAGATAGATAGATAGATAGATAGATAGAGTTCTTCTACCTTTGTTCTCATCTTTTAGTTTTGAGCTAAAATTAATTAGATTGAGTACGCATAATGAATCCTTTTGCTAGTGTCCCCAGTCATCTCTGTTGCACCAAAAATGTCAATAGTAGACTCTTCAGAAGGAGTTTAGGAACATAGTGCTCCTTGAGTTCTTACATGTTTAAATGCTTTTCTATAGCCCTGATACTTGAATGACAGATTGGCTGAATATAAAATTCCTTGCCTTATACTTCTTTTCTCCCTGAGTTTCTTAAAAATGTTGCTCCATTTATCTTTATTACAGATTCACTTTCCTTTGTAAGAGACATATCTTTTTACCTGAAAGCTCAGAGATTTTTTTTTTATTTAATGTTATTTTTAAAGCTACAAGTATAAGAAAGTCTCTGCAATAGGATGAATAATAGTCCCTAAAGATGTCCATGCTCCAATCTCTGGAACCTATGAATGTTAACTTACATGGTAAAAGAGACTTTACAGTGTAACTGAGTTAAGGATCTTGAGATGGGGATATTATTCTGGATTATCGAGGCAGGCTCAATGTAATCGGAATTCTTCTAAGAAGAAGACGGGAGATTACAGAGAAGAAAAAATAATACATTGCTGCCTTTGAAGGCAGAAGAAGGAACACAAGCCAAGGAATGTAGGTAGCCTCTAGATGCTAAAAAAATTAAAGAAACAGATTCTTCCCAAAAGCCTCCAGGAATGCAGTTCTATGCACCCATTTTAGACTGACATCAGAAATGTAAGATAATAAATGTATTAAACTGCTAACTTGTTTTAAACTGCTAATTTGTGGTAACCTGTTACAGAGCAATAGACTAGGACAGTCTCAGAATTGACTACTCTGAGTCAAATGGAAAGATGAACCCTTTAATAATGTAGAGCAGTCTTTCACTTCTGGAAAGTTTTCTTAGATGATAGTATTAGATTTTAATTCATATCCATTATTTTGTATTTTCAAGAATTTCAATTATATATACACTAAATCTTCTTTGCCTTATATTCCACTTGATTATTTTTATCACTTTTAGTTTTGTGCTCTTGGTTGTTTTCATTCTTCTCTTCAATATCCTTTACTATTTTCAGTTGAATGCACTCACTTGGAAATCTTAAAATTTCATTTTCATTTCTAATAAGATTACTTTTGCTTGAGTTCCAATCCTGAGTTTGGTTAATTTTTGTTTCTCATCCTCCTCTTCGTTGGCCATTTATTCTGAATGGCTGAATTTCTAATTTAAGGTATTTTTTCATATCTGAATATGATGGTTTAAAATTTTTAAATCAGGTTGGAATATTTTGTGTGAAAAGGGGACAATTTCATCAGCTAAAAAGTTTTTATTCACATATTCTATTTCTTCTCATAACATCTTTTCTATTTTGTTTTCTCTCTTGATTTTGAAATACCCAAAGTTTGCTTAGATCAGCAAACAGATGATTCTATGAATGTAGAGTTTTGGGTGACTTAGTAGATTTCTTGATTCTAGAGTACTTTTTTCTTTAAGAATAATGAAATGCAGTTTCTTTAACATATAGTACCATTTTAATGAGAAGAGATGGGCTTCTGATTTTCTCATTATCTTTCTGTTTGACAGAGGTGGGGTTAGGGAGTGGGAAGGGTGTTATCCCCTGCTTCTGTCTTCACTACCAAGCTTCCAGGGGATACTATGTCCTCCCAAATCACTTCCCTGTCTCCCCTCAGAAACAGTACTTTCCCAGGACTGCCATACTAATTCTTGTCCTGTATACTCTTAGAATACTTCCTTTTGATTCTCCAGGAGCCAGCACTCTAATCCTTTGTGTGTCATATCTCTTCTCAGTATTTCCCCATTCAAGAGTTAGACCTTCTTCCTGGAGTAGATTTCATCTGTATTTCACCACTACTAAGTCAACCCTATACCCTGCCCTGACTATCTTCTTCTCTTTTCTATGCAGTCTTTGCTTAACTTCTCTTCAATGTAAGCTCCAGAGCTGGCTCTGCAAGCTTCAGCTATTTCACTATTTACATATATATTGAAATTTGCAGTCAACTCTATAGACTCCTAGTTATGCTGCAGAAATGGATTACAAATGGTTTTATTTGCTCTCCTTTTTGATCTTGTGGAGAGAACTAGATTTAGGTGGCCATCAATATCCTATGGAAAACTAGAAGTCCTTTCATTGTAATGTAAGATTTGTTCTAACATCCAAATTTTCAACCTTTAAAAGAGCAGATCACAAGCTTTTCTATTCTATGACTTCTAAACTTTCTCATCAATGATTTTTTATTATTGAAAAAATAATAGTATTTTATTCAGAAACTAATACATTTTAACCAGAATTGTAATCTAATCAGTGAATTAAATTGAAAGCAAAGTTAGTAAAGTAGCTTAGAGAATAAGGCATTTAAATCTTCTAAGGACAATTAGAGGAGGAAGATGAGAGCTGGAGT